GTTAATAACATATCGCCCACCAGACCACTGCGAGGACCAGGCGCCGCAAGCACATCTTACGTTTCCTACACAAGGGTCTATCAGAACTGCTGCTAAAATACCTGATATTCATCAGGACAGTAGAAGAGGTGTTCGCTTCATTCCTTTGGGGGGAGGAGGAACAAAACCACATGCACTATTATCTCTTCTACTCGTTGATGGGAGGTATGGTCAGCACTTCTGATCTGAGCACGAGCCTCCATGCGCAAACGATACATTACCTCAGAGCAGGTCTGGACATGTCCACATACAGGCATATGGCTGCTGTGATTGGCTGACGTTTGGAGGTTGGCATCATCGATCCGGAGGAGGACGAGATGACGACAGGGATGGATGCCCAGGCGGGGTGGCTCACAATGATGTCAGAAAAAATCTATGGTCTTCAGAAGGATGAGGTCGGTGGCATCAATGATCGTGTCATCACACTCTTCCGTGCAACCAGTCGCCTGTGGCACGACAAGGTGCTTGGGCTCCCTGTACATTACAGGGTTAGCGGAATGGCAGGCAATAACCCAGAAATGGAAAGGAGGGATAGGCCCGAAGGTAGACTTGCAGGGCAAGCAAGTGAATTGCCCAGTGGGGGCAGGAGTGCATCAGCGGACGTTGGAGCTGTCCGGAAGCCTTCGGGGCTCCATACTTAGGGAGGTGTAGGTAATATATTGAAAAGAGGGGGTGGTGACCATCAAGGGAGGTGGAGGTGATTGCAGAATATGGGAGCTCTGAGGTTAGTGAAGAAGGAGTGGAGGTAGTCCAGAAGGGTTGGAGGTGGTGGAAGATGATGGCCATGGATGGATATGACAGATAGAGCCTGCTGTAATGGCAAATGATGTGCTGTCTCAGCGATGCCTTCTCCACTGGCATACATAATTGCCATGAACATGGCAGAGAAGACTTCCTCAGTTGGTGGGTTACCCACCAATGAATAGCCAGAGGAAAGATGTTGACAAGAGTCCATCACAAATGCCAAGAGCATTGCTGTGCTCATTTCACTGCTATACATCTCACCATCCTGCTGCAATTGCTGATGGCAATCCACCCAGCTGGAATGAAGAGATCAGGTCATGCAGTGGGGGAGAGAAAGAATGAAGTGTCCATAAGCCCCTATCATATCCTGGATCTTCCACCTCCCTTTGCTCAAATCATACATGACTCCTATGACCTCCACCAGCCCTCCCAATCTCTCTCTGCTGCCTCTGGTTGATGCCAACGACCCTAGGACTACCTCCTCCTCCTCCTCCTCCTCTCTCCTGCTCTGCCACCCACCTATGTCCACAGCACCTCCGGACCTTTACCACCATACCTCCACCTCCTTGGACCCCTTGTTCGAAGGAGATGGGCTTGCTCATTGTTGATGAATCCCAGCTTGTCATTCCATCCTCCTTCCTACCTCTGGTCTCCACACCTCTGGTACCTCCACACCTTTGGTACCTCCTTACCTCCAGTACCTCCTCATTCCTATCTTACCTCCGGTCTTGATAATCTTATTGTTTTATCATTTGATATTTTCTACAACCCCAATCTTCCGGACTACAACTTCCAGGCTCTGGACCTTTCCAGATGTCTTTCTCTGTAGTTCCTGCTTGTTCATAGACACTTTCAGACCTTGCCATTCAGTTGGCTTTTATTTCTCTCACTCCACAAAACCTCAGACGTAATTCGGGCTTTTCACCTATTCCTATTTGTCTTGTGGACTTGTTTCTATTTACTTCCCCTTCCCCTTGGTAACCTTTGTTTACCTTTGGATCCAATTGTTTCCACTATATGTATGTGCATACCCCTCTAGTAAATAGTTCCCCCAGTTATAATATAAACAGTCTTCAGCCCTCCAAAACCTCTTCCAGGATGTCTATCGCGTCCCACTCATCTGCTGCTCCTAAGAACTGAGTAACAGGTGCTCCCAGAGACGCCTTGGTATAACACCCAATGAATCATGTGATGAATGATTGACCCTCGCTAACGCCTCCTCTGTTAAGTAGTGAGGGGGGGGCCTCCAGCCCCCTTCTGCTGGTGGCCTCGGTTCCTCCGTCACCAGCTCCCCTGACAAATGGGGACAACGAGAACATACTGGGTGCAGCGCTCCGTTCCAAGTCACTGAAGCCGAGTCCCTTCAATACCCTGTCACCCTCAGAGCTCCACCCCACCTCTGGTCTGTCTCTGACCCACCACAGATGACCCGGAACACCAAGCTCCACCTGACAGCATCGTCTGGATAGTGATCGACCTATCCTCCAAGGAAAGACGTTCATGACACAAATCCAAACTCACTGTCTGTGCACAATGCTGGGCACTGTCCAGAGGGGTGTCAGGACTGTTTCCCACAGTGTCAACAGACTTTACACCAATGTATAGCCCATTTGAATAACTTCCAAAATATATAATTTGGGACTAAATTGACCAATAAACTATCAAGAAAAACAGAAAATACTTTTTTGGACACAAGTCTTTTCAGATAACTCCATGTTATAGGCTGAGCCAGGGTTATAGGGTGATTTTGGACTTGGATGCTCAACCTTTGGGATGTTGGAGTGGGAACTGGATGCTGGACTCTGGATGCTGGGTCTGACTGCACTGCCACTACACTGCCACCTACTGTGGAGGTCTCTCAAGGAGAAGTGCTGACACTGTTAGCACTTTGGATGCTGGCACCTGCACTGCCACTCACTCTCAAGACACTGTTGGCACTCTGGATGCTGGCATGTTGAGTGGTAGTGCAGTGCAACCCTGCCCAACCCCAGCAATCCTAGTGTCCAGAGTGCCAACACTGTCGGCACTTCTGCTTGAGAGGCTGCATATTGAGTGGCAGTGCAGTGGCAATACAGCCAGAGCCAGCATCCAGAGTGCCAACAGTGTCAGCACTTCTCCTTGAGAGCCTTCATAGTAGGTGGCAGTGCAGTGGCAGTGCAGTCATCCAAAGTGCTGACAGTGTCAGCACTTCTGCTTGAGAGACCTCCACAGTAGGTGGCAGTGTAGTGGCAGTGCAGTCAGACCCAGCATCCAGAGTCCAGCATCCAGTTCCCACTCCAACTCCCAACATCCCAAAGGTTGAGCACCCAAAAACCGAATCAAGCATCCAAGTCCAAAAATCACCCTATAACCCAATCTTCTCTCCATGGATGCCAAGATGAAATTTTGTACTGCAATACAAGATTTTGTCTTGAACACACCAAACGGGTCATGTCACCAAACTCTATGGGCATGGTTAAAAACCCTTGGGTATGTGAACTGGATGCTCAATATCTTTCCCTTACTCAAGCCTGCACATATAACAAAGTCACTGGGATCTTTGAGCCAGATGGTGAATAGAAACATGACCAGCTCAGAATCAACACAAAGAGCAAGTCGATAGAGTCATGGCTCCACTTCTTGAACTGGCAAAATCATTGTCTTCATAGAGTGGATTCACAACAACACTTGCAGGGCTATGAGATGGGAATATGAGAATGGGGCCAGAGTTATCTGACCTTGTGGACCTTATGGGGGGTAGGAGTGGAGGGTTCAACATCAAGAGGAAGATGAGGCCTGTGAGAATGATTTGGCAAACTTGTTGGAGACTTTACAGGAGGTGCATGAATCCTAGTCAAGGAGCCATGGAGTTCTGCAAGGCATGGGGCCACCTGTGGCTGAGGAGGGAGACTTTCATTGAGACAAACTTCCCACTCCTTGGGGGCTGAAGAATAGAATTCAGATCTATGATAGGTTTAGAGCCATAAAAACTAAGGAATCATGGCAAAAGTGCAAATGCTCCTCATATATGACTTCACAGTGGCATTGAACAGTTCTAGTGCACATACAGTGTTGGCTCCTCCAATATACACATAGATATATCTACACCTCATGATTCCAGGACTCTACAGGAAGTATTCTACTGCACCAAAGCATATTGTTAATGAACTGCACAAAGCCTGCATACTTGACCATCCAACCCATCAAGCTTATGAACTCTTTGGCAACATCATGAAGTGGTCAAATGTACCTCTATCTGTACTTGCTGAAAACTGGAATGTGCAGTATTTCAACGGCTGGCAGAACGATCAGCCTGACCTGCTGATCCATCAGCAGTAACATGCGGCCATGGACTAAAATTGAGTCGCCCTCCTGTTGGTTGGAACACTTTATGCATTGGTGCAAGAAGGCCCAAAGTGTCAGGTCCATGGTGCCAAGATTATAAAAGTGGCACCCAACCATTAGGACACCAGGGGTTGCATCGGAGGATGGTGTGTAATCAGTTAATTCTTCGAAAGATCCATCACCACTTTCCAATGAGCTTCCACATGATGACATGTCAGTCACAGAAAGCACTGCCTGTGGGGTCCCTGGTGGCAGGATGCTATGTGTACCAGGGATTCTATTAGTAGGGTTGTAATTATTCCATGCACAACAAAGGGACTCACAGAGAAATCCCAGGTGTTAGCAATATTAACTGCATTGATGGATCACCCTCATAGGCCAAATGGAACAAATCTTCAGGGGCATCTGGCCTGTTGAAGAGCTCTGAATCCCCATTGCTCAAAACAATCCACTTGCACAAACACCAGCACATGGAACTTTGGCCTTTTGCCTACCAGCTGCCAGGCCAGCCTTCAGAAAAGTGAAGACAGCTAGTGGAAGTTGGGGTGCTTAATTTGCACATATGGCAAGTCCTCACATTTCATGCTCACAACTCTTCCTGACTTTATGTTTCATGTCCGTTCAGCCTCAAAGTTGGTACATGAGCAGTCCTAGCAACCATATATGTGCATACCACATTTCATTGCTGAAAATAAAAAAATGAGAGAGTTGTGTGGCAATTAACCATTGGAGGGTGAAAAACTGTAGAGGGATTGAGTTGAGAAGGGTGTGTTTCCCTATTCCCTGTTATGTTACTATAAAAGGAAGATGTACTGTACAGTTTGTAGCATGACCACAGGTAGAAGCCAAGGGCATTCCTGTGACTGGGAAAAGGTGTCACATAGGATTTCCAGATGAAAAAGTCCACTGTTTTCATATGCCCCATCATCCCTCCTACAGCACTGCCTGAGGCCCAGAACATCCATGGGCTCCAGTATAACTTGGTCATCCCTGACCAGGGGCTTTTGTTGACTAATGATGCAAAAGTTGAAAACTGTGCTGCCATATGCCAGAAAGCCTTCATGGGTATAGAAGAGCTAGATGTTTCAGACCCTGAAAATCCATGCCTTCATCTTGGTGGGCATAATTCATGCAACATTCAGACCTCAGCTGCCAGGTGATTGGCACATCTGTTTACCATAACCCAGGTCCATGATGGTTAATCACAGACATGGCTCTTCACCTTGTCATTCAGCAACCTTGGATCCAGAGCCAATCATGGCCCAACAAATAACGGACAAAAATTACAAGAAACTTCCTCCCATGATTTTGATGGAACTGGGGCAAAGGGCTGCATGGGCTCATCAACTTCACATAATCAATGGTCAACACTAGTGAGAGTCCTTGTCATTTCATATGGGTTTACAAGACAATGCTTCAGAATTTGGGCCTTGCAATATGCATGCAATATGGGGATGAAAGCCATGGACTGTCTTTGTCAAATCATCAACTCACACAGTGAGGCAGCAGATGATGACAAGGCAGAGGAGGCAAAAAAGTTGTATGAAGCAGAAGAGCACTGAATGGCAGCCATGAAAACATAGTCCTGCAACATCTGGGACTTGGGTGAGTGAACCAGGTATTGCCATGGCATATTCATAATAATAATAATCATTGTGTGTTGCAAGATATCATTGAGGGGGAAGGGGAGGTGGGTAATCTCCTCATTGATTTATTGTCACAAAATAGGGATACTGTGGAGGTCACAACTGAGGAGGATTGACTCACTCCCAGAAATTGGGGGAACCGATGAATGTTGCCAAGATTGTCCCAAAAGTCAAGACAGTGGTATGAGACCATTGGACAACTCAGGGAATGATGGAAATGACACAATTGGGGAAATATTATCAAGTCTGGAGAGGATCCAACATCAATCATCTTGGCAGCCATACCATAGGTTAAACATCTTCCATAAGTCCAACACACTCAAATTAGTTCCTCATGGTGCTAATGGTCATGGCTCTGGTATCTCTGGACATTGTCATATCTGGACATACCTGATCCCGATTCTACTCCTGGACCCCCTTTCCACCACCTCTGGAGTCCTACCCTATTCCTGTACACTCTGATCACCACCTTCAGATCTGACCCCACCTTCCACTCTCTCCTGACTAATCTCTGCCAAGGTATGACCTCCTGTTCCCATCCCATACCCCAAACTTGGACACTGATTGTACCTCTGCTCCAAGATCCCATCCTGGTCCCAACCTCAGACTTTGACACCACCCCAGCTTAAGTCCATTGCATTGATAACCTCATTTCAATGCCATTGCCAATATTCCTTGGACTTCCAATCCTGCCTCCATAAGCTCCACTACCTCCAAGGTTCATGGACCTACCCCAGTTCCTTCACTGCTTTATTGTATACTTCACATTTCTCCCCCACCCCTATTTGGACTACTGCTTCTTTCTATTTAGTCAGTTAGTCATCCACCCCACTTCCCCACTTCCCCTCATCCTCCTGCCCCTCTGGGCCTTGTGTCAGGGTCGTGTGTGCTTGCAACAAAGGATGCCCCCAAAACCAAGTTGATAGCAAAGCTGGGGGACATGCCCACACCAGCAAAGGATATATATGTACACGGTAGAGACGGTAACTAGCCAACTAACTAATAACCGGTAGAAGTGGATCAAAGATGATAGAAGATCACACGGCATCATAACCAATACCATGTGACCAGATCAAATAGAAGATCAGAAGTGAAAAAGAAGAAGAACCTGATGGGGATACGGGCCATGTGGCGCTGTGCTACTTACGCTAGCGACCCAAAGACGTGCCCTGACACCTTGCCCTCCTTACCTCCTTTCAGATGCACCATAGAGTCCAACCCTTGACCCTTGGTGTAGTTCCTAACCTGTACTTCCCTTTGTCTCCATTTGGACACTTTTGTTCCATTTTGGACCCCCTTTATATATAGATAATGTACATACTCATTTTCCCCTCAGTCAGTAATTGACCTGAGCAAACTAGAATCTGACTTGAACCTACCTGGATGCCCCCTAGAGACTTCACCCTTGCTATGTCTGAAATTAAGGACCAGCAGAACAAACAGCAATGGCACAGTGCTCCCTCCACTTGAGTTGCTGATGCCAAGGTCCCTCCTCACTAAGTCTCCATTTCCACTCTGGAACTGGCTGAGACCCCTGTCTCTAACAGACATACATCCAGGTCCAGAATGAACTCCTGGGTTTGGTGTTTTCTGAATCCATGTTGGATGCTGATTCGGCATATGGGAAATTCCTCAAAGATATTTAGAAGCTCTCAGTGGTTGAGTCCACCACAACTCATAGGAAGCTCCTGAAGAGGTTGTCAGAGACCAGATCAAGACGAAGGAATGTCTCCGTGGTGGAGGGCTTCAGCCTCAGCAACTTTATGCCAGGAGTGCTGTGCCAAGTTACACGTCTGTGCCCTAATTTACTTACTGGCAACGAGAACTAAAGGGGGTCAACTCTAGTCGATTTTATTACTGAGGTGTAACCTATGTACAAGTCAAGTATATATAGTTACAGTGGGGGCGGGCCTGTAAATGACAGGGCTGAGCGGAGCAGAGCTAACGGGGTTAAACATTAGCCAATTGAATATATTACCGACAAGTTGGGTTATGGGGTTAGCAGAATGGTAGGTGATAACCCAGAAACGGAAAAGAGGGATAGGCCTGAAGGTGGGCTTGCAGGGCAAGCAAGTGTATTGCCCAGCAGAGGCGGGAGTGCGCTAGTGGACATCGGAGCTGTCTGGAAGCCTTTGGGGCTCCATACTTAGGGAGGTGTAGGTAATATAATGAAAAGAGGGGGTGGTGACCATTGAGGGAGGCAGAGAGGAGTGGAGGTAGTCTGGAGAGATTGGAGGTAGTGGAAGTTGATGGCCATGTGACAGAGGTGCAGGACCTTTCAGCTGATATCTTAACATTCATTGATAAGCAGCAGTGAATGCCTGCTCTGGAGCAGTACTATACAATGGAGTTTTGGGATGCCACCCATGATGCAGAACTCAAGTCTGGGCTCACCACCACCACTCAGGGCAAAGTCCACTACCCTGATGATGTTTTCCAGGTGACCTCTGCCAAACAATGTCAACATCATCATACCTACATTGCTGGAGTTCAGGAAGCAATCATAACCATTATTTCTCATCGTTATGAGGATGGGGAGAATTTCTCCCTTCTTGAACTGTTCTTGTAGTTGGAAGATGATTGCAAGATCTTGTTTGTACCTTAACGGGATGTGTAATCGATGGGAGGTCCCAGTCATGCTTGAGAGTAGACGATCGAATCCCCATCGATCATGGTTCACAATGGAATGGGTTATTAAGGGTTCGATTACATGTAGTCGGAGACACCAGGGTAGATAGGTTGGCCATGGGTACTTGGCACTCCTCAGTGGAGTGTACCATGCAGTCGCAACTTGTACATTGTATGAGGATCCTGCATCGTTGCTATTGGTGACTTGGCATTTGTAGTACGAACGTACTGGTAGTGGGTTATAATTGTGAGAGCCCAGTAAAGAAGGGCTAGTGGGGCCTTCAGTGACTTGGTGTTCCCAAAGGGAACGTACCGTTGGCAGTGAGGTACAATGGCTGACAAAGGAGGGACCAGACAGCTGATGGGCAGCTACTTGGCACTCATGCAACAAGTGTGCTGGCATCATGGGAATATGAGTCACAGAGCAGTCGCGATCCTGAATACCATAACATGACATCGTCTGTCGAATGCTAGAGGGAGAACTAGGCAATGATGTCCAGTAAGACATGGGTTCCAATGAATGACACATAAGTCACGAGGCTTTGACTCATGACTTTGCAGCAAGAACTGCTGGATGACTCAACATAACCAGGCATACAGGACATGTTGAAGATTGTACACACACACACACGTGTTCAGCTGAGTCACAGAAGGGATTGTTACAAGAGACAATGCACAAGATAGTTTGCAGCAAGTTGTAGTAGTTAATGGGAACCGCCTCCAGTGGTTTCCATACATGACGCATGACTATCTACAAATGGAATGGTTGTGGTAAATCCTGCAAAATGCAAACAACCTTGGCCAGCACCAAAACCCTGATGGGGAAAGCTTTGCATGGGATGGAATAGAATGGGAGAGGATAGTATGGTATCGGGAAAGAGAGCAAGAGAGAGTGTGATAAAAGGGAGGTCATTGACAATGCAACAGATATGGTCGTTGGAGACTCTATATCCATCACTCTGTCAAAGATCCCCTTCTCTCTCTCTCTCTCCCTCTTGCTACCCTTCATACTCTTTCCTACCCCCCTTGCACAACGCTTTCCCTATCAGAGTTTTGGTGCTGGCTAAGGTTGTTTATACTTCACAAAATTTCCCACAACCATTTTACTTTGTAGGTAGTCATGTGTCATGTATGGAAACCACTGGAGGTGGTCCCTGCTAACTACTACAAATCTATGACAAACCTCCTTGTGTGCTGTCCCTGTAACAACCTCCCTTCTGTGACTCAACTGAATCTGTGTGTATAGATCTCAACATGTCTAATACATCTGACTATGCTGAGTCTTCCAGCTCTCACCAGGAGAATTCAAGGTCACAAGTTGAGGCCTCATGACCTGTGTACTAATCACTGGAACCCACACCCTGCAGGATGCCACCACCTTGTTCTCCCTCCAACACTCAATGAACATCATCATATCATGTTACTTGGGTCCTGTCAGGGACACGTCCAGGGTCAAGGGGGTCCGGGTATAGCGCCTGGCACTGAGGACCTCACAGGGGGTAGATCAGGCATGCATACTGGCAGGCCCGATATGGGACAGCTGTCCCTGGCCACTCAGACTGAAGTGGAAAAGGTGAATTGTTATTGAAAGGGAAAACTACACTAACTTACCTGAAGTGGAAAAGGTGAGAAGAAGGTTATTTCTTCGGTTTCCACTTCAGGTACATTTATGTACATGCGGCTTGAGTCACATGACGGATGCCATGTCATCCTCGGAGACAACCACAGCCATCTGGGTGTCCCCATGGGGGATCCCGAGGGCATCCGGTGCAGGCGCATGTGCTGGGCACAGTGGGGAGCCGTCCAGGGAGTCTGGGTCGGGTGGGTCAATAGTACATTGATGCAAAGGAAAGTGGTCCATGTAAATAGAAAGAATAAGCAGGAGGGGAATGATGGGAAGAATGAAATAAAGAAAAGAGAAGAGAGAGAGAAGAAAGAAAGAAAGAGGAGGGAAGGAGGCAGGGGCAGTGGGGCAGCGGGTGAGGTGTGGCTGGGTGGACCCAGGTGGGCCCGGGTCAGGTGGGTGTGCCCTGACAGGTCCATAACTACCATGAAGACTCCATACCCAGATGCCAGCACACTCATGAGCACCAAGTAGCCACCTATCACCCTTCTAGTCTCTCCCATGCTAGTCATCGCACCCCTCCACAATTGGTACATTGTAGGAGGGCATAGCAAGTACAATACAAACAAGGCCAGAATTGCATTTTTCGACACTCCAACAAGCACCCTCAAGCTTCTGACATATTTCCAATTCCCATGGGGCACCTCCACATTTTTTTCTATTT